TAACATTTAGGAACTTGCATATTTCTGTTATTTAAATGCCTCATCTGCTTCATAAAGCAGGAGGGGGTATAGCTGGGTTTAGTGTACTGCGTTGAACAACCTGTCCTTGTGTGAGCGGCTGTTCAACCCTAAGTGAATAATACTGAATGTATCTAACATGTACTTACTCAAGAGGAAGAGGAATGGGCTCTGCAGTAGTGAGTCTCGTCAGCTCGTCGATCAGCTGCAATTTCCACTGACGGCGTCTCACCTTCACAGAAACAAAAGCATCCGAGTCCATCCAAACAGAAACAGACCATAAACAACATGTGATAACACAAAGTAAATAAGCTGTACCTGCCATGTGCCAAGACCAAAGGTGGTGGCAGGGATGAGCAGCAGGAACCATTTGAGGAAAGAGTCCTCTCCTTTCTCTGCTTGGGCTGCTGTGGAGCTGGACTGTCGCCAGAAGGGAATGAACCTGCCTGGAAATGTACAATATACATATATACATAATGTATGGAGGCACACAGTTTTACTTACAAATATGATCAGAGACCATTTAAGATTGTTCACAGATGGTTATTCAGATAAGCATTAAATGACAAAGTTTAAACCTGATGTAAGGCTCAATCTGCAAAACATTTCCATTTTTAAAACATACTGTATTTATATGTTTTTATGAGTTACATTTATTTGTATTTTTTCCCCAACATTTTCACAAATCTAGGCCTGGCTTGTTACCCAAATACCACAAATAACAAACCTTTAATTTATGTTTTCTTAAAGGAAACCCAGTTGACAGAATGGTTTTAAGTTTGTAACACTACTATAATTCATTATTTTATTTGTCTAAAAGCTTCTTCTAGTAGCTTCTTCGTTATGTTTACACTGGCATAATTAATGACCATGAATTATTTGCTTTTGAGAAAGTGGAGTCCAGTGTCATCATTATGTCATTTACAGTGAATAGAATTGGCTTTACCGTCTGCACGTTTGAAGAGTGGCAGTCTGGGTGGAAACAGAGTCCTTTTGATGTAAATGACATGTGGCTGCAATAACAGAAACAAAAAAATGACTTTCACCAGACACAGAGAAGTTTCTTTGGGATATTTAGACGCAGAAATTAAAAAATACAACTAATGATTTACCTGTTTCTTTAGCGTCGTAAGCACCCTGGTGGAGTAAGCCAGCGCTGATTTCAGAGAAGCCATGCTGAGTCCAAACACCAATGAAAAAAAGGTTAAAAGAAGATTAGACAACCGACTACATAACAACCAGACAACTGAGCAGAAGGGGGACTGCTTCTGGTGTTACACCTACCGGGTTGCCCCCTCCCCTCCCCTCCTTCCGGTCCCGTCTTGTCTTACCCACGTGTGTCCAGAAATGTGTTGATATTTTTATTAGCAGTAATTCCTGTCATGTTGCGTCTGTTTTAGCTGGATTTAAAGTTAGTTTTGTCGCCATGGATCTCGCCTCCAAGGACTCCTACATCCAAAAACTCGCAAGTACAGTCATTTCTCAGCGAGAGCAGGAGCCAAAGAAGAGACCGTTTGGTAATGTTGGTTAATTTACACTCTGTTTTTCATACTTACTCTTTTCTGTGCACATTACTGTTATAGTTGATGTGTTAGCAGTTATCTAAAAGTCAATGTGTGTCATCAAACCTTTGGCTGGTTCTGTAGTTGTCTAAAGGAGGCGCTACACTGTCTAAAAAATTATGTAGTACTAAATGACAAATACCAGAAATAGGCAAGAGTAGTTGGTATATAATTTAGGTACTTTCTATTCAGCAAAAATAAGTAAATATTCTCAATTTCCAGCTCCTGAAATGTGATTATTTGCTGCTTTTCTCTCGTTTTATTTTTTGAAATAAAATAGATGAGTAATACAATGTTTGTAATTGTCAGACAGCACATATACATTGGACAATTGAACTCATCGTATTCTAGGAAATTGTGACTGACATCTTTGTTAGTTGTTGTGTACAGCAGTAGGTCTTGAGGTGATTGCCTAGGCAGGAAAAAAAGAACTAAATCCTAATACACAAAATTATGTTTATTTAACTTTTCTTCACTCTTTGCTGCTTTCCTAAATCCTGTGGTGTGGGCCCTTTCAGACCTCTAACACATTACATGTTTGAAACTAGTTTGTGTTTATAGCTAACTTGATCATTATAAATTTTCTATGAGCTGTTCCCACTTTGGTCACAGAAAACCATCTGATCTGTACTTTTTATTTCAATTTCATGGCCTTTCAAGTTCCTAATCCGGCAGCTGTAGTTGGAGAATCATGTCAGTCCATTTGACATTACAGTGTTGAATATATATGTACTCATTAATATATGTGTTGTTTGTCTGTGTGTAGCTTATTTCAAGGGTAAAAGTGACACTGGTCCTCCGAAGAAGAATAAAAAGTGTAAAAAGAAGAATTTTAAAGAAAAGAGCGCAGGTGAGAAGACTCCGACTCCTAAATCCCAACAAAAGCCTTCACCCTTTGCTGCAGCACAGAAAGGCCCAGCAGTACTGAACGGGTCCAAAACTCAGAGCATAAATGGATCTACAGCACAGCCGCCTAAAGGTACAGTAAGAGTATACCAGCCTCTCAAATCCATGTGTCCACCTGTCCAAGAGAGGATGTGATTTTCACATTTTCTTACTGCATTGTTATTAAAATTGTTGATGTTTGCGTCAGTCATATTTTATTTTATTGTTTTTTTTCTTAAAGGAGGAAATGCACAGTCTAACTTCTCCACGGTAGATGTCCTACGCAAGAGACTGCATGAAAAGATCGAAGAGTCCAGAGGGCAGGTATGTAGTATTTTAAAGATAGTGCAGACAATGAGAGAAAACCAAGAGGAGGTTTATTTATACACTCTATTAGTGACAGTCTATCCATAACATATATATATATATAAAGGTAAACTGCCCCTACTTACTCCTCAACTCTTTTTAAAACCAGCAATACAAGTCAGTATTGACTTCTACCACACCTTGATGTTATGTTTAAGATGCTAATTACAGAACGTGTGAACTGGGAGATCACATCAAATACAGTAAAGGAAATGTTTAATGTGTAATAATGTATTCAGTTCTCAGCAGCTGGTAGGCCGTAATTCATTC